GACCATCAGCAGACGTACTCCTTGGATCAGTTCCAGGAGCAAAGATGCCCTCGCGTGAGGAAATCGAACGCTGGTATAAAGAAAATGAGGGTGTGACTGAAGCTAATGCTGCAGTTACACGCGCTCAACAGAGAGTAAGTAACGAGGAAGCCACACCTGCGTTACAGTCAGCTACTTCGAACGAAAACCAAATAGCTATCACATGTGGGATAGCTAGCGAAGAAGCAGTAAAGAATGAACCAGAACGACCAAAAGAGCCTGGAAACGAACCACACGCACCGAAAACAAACAGTTTTGCGATACAACAACGGGCGGATCCTACCCTCACTAAATGCTTTTCTAGGGCAGAAGTAACCGGTGTTAGAACATGTAAGCAAGGTACATGGCATTTTTATGTGAAGAATGGAATTTTAATGAGATATTTTAAATCACCTGTTATGCAATGTAAACAATTAGTCGTTCCTTTATGTTATAGAACCGATGTTCTGAGAGTTGCACATGACACTCCTTTTGCTGCACATTTAGGTATAGGTAAAACACAGAAAAGAGTTCTTGCACAATTCTATTGGCCTGGTTGTTCCACAGATATTAGGAAATACTGTAGGTCATGTAAAGACTGTCAAATGATGGCGAGAAAGGATGCATCTCAGAAACCTCCTATTCAAAGGGTCTATCTTCCATGTCGTCCTTTCGAAAAAGTTGCTGTCGATCTTGTGGGTCCGCTACCGGTTGTTTCACAAAGAGGATTTAGATACATTTTAACATTTGTAGACATGGCATCACGCTGGGTTGAAGCAGTACCGTTACGTCATATCACTACTGAGTCAGTAGCAGAAGCATTGATGCTTATATTCTCTAGAGTAGGCTTTCCTGAAACAATCCTATCAGATCACGGATCACAATTTATTTCAGAAGCAATGCGCTCTTTTGACAAATTACTTGCCATCTCTCACGTTTTTTCTGCAAGATATCACCCACAATCAAATGGGCTAGTAGAAAATTTAAATGGGAAAATAAAAGCTATGCTAGCCAAAGTTACTAATCAATTTCCAGCAGACTGGGACAAATACCTTCCTGCTGTTTTGTTCGCCTATCGTGAGGTGCCCCAGAGCAGTACAGGTTTCTCACCTTTCGAACTTATATATGGTGCTAATCCCAGAGGTCCACTGTCGCTGTTAAAGGACATATGGATCGGTAAAGGCGATCAAGAAGCGCCTCAAACATATATTAAATTCGTGACGGAGTTACGTAACAAGATAATCACAGGTTGTCAAGTTGCACGGGACAACTTGGAAAATGCTGGTACTCATCAAAGAGAATACGTTAACCGTAACCGGAGACTGATCACTCTCCAGCCTAATGATGATGTATTGATATTTCTGCAAGATAATAATAATTGTTTATCAGCCAAATGGCAGGGTCCTTTTAAAGTTATTAAGAAAATTTCAGATGTGGACTATCTTATTGATGTCAGAGGACATCATAAAGTATACAATCTAAACATGCTTAAAGAGTTTAAGTCTCGCCCTGGTGTTTTGTCTGAAGTGTTAGAAGCAGCTGAGGCACCCGACAATAATTTGCAAGAAGAAGAAATGGAGGCAGCATTCTGCCACGTCATTGACGAAGAGAGCAATGATGTCGAGGTGGACACTGCTCATCAATTGTCTCTACCCGAACTGGTACCCAGAGAAACATGGAGAGACGTGGAAGTCGCGCCCTCGGTTCCACCAGATATGGTGCGTCGTATAAAGCGTATTTTGGCTACATTCGACAAAACATTATCGGACATACCGGGTAGAACGACAGAAGCAGTGCATTCCATTGAATTAATAGATCATAAACCCATCAAAATGAAACCATATGTTATACCTTTTCATTATCGGGATGCAGTAGATAAGGAAATCGATAACATGATTAAGTGGGGTATAATAGAACCGTCGACATCACCCTATGCTTTTCCTATAGTGGTTGTCCGAAAGAAAGATGGAAGCCTTCGGATCTGCATAGATTTCCGAAAATTGAATCGAATCACGGTTGTAGATGCTGAAAATATCCCAAATATGGAAGATATGTTTGTTGCATTGTCGAAGGCTAGGTATTTTACAAAGTTAGATCTTACCAAGGGTTATTGGCAGATTCCCTTAGACGAGGATTCCAAAAAAAATACACCGCGTTTCAGACGAACAAAGGTTTGGTTCACTTCAAACTATATGGTCTTCGGGCTTTCCGGAGCACCGGCGACGTTCACCCGCCTCGTACGCAAGTTGTTACAGGGTCGTAATGATGTTATTCATTATCTGGATGACATTCTACTTTTCCATAATGATTTAGACGAACATATTCGAGGTCTAAAGACATTACTGGAACGCATAAAATCGTTTAATCTGACAGTTAGACCAACTAAAGTGAAGGTCGCTTTCGAGGAGGTCACGTTCCTCGGTCATGTTGTAGGACACGGGGTCCGTAAACCCGAAGCCACCACGGTGGGTAAGATTCTTAACATCCCTATACCAAAAACGAAGAAACAAGTGCGTGCGTTATTGGGTTTATGTAACTTTTATGCCAAATTCATTCCTAACTATTCAACCATTACAGCCGTGTTGTCCTCATTGACGATGAAAGGAATGCCAGCGAAGGTTATCTGGACGAGAGAGTGCGAGGACGCGCTCCAGAGATTACAAAAGGCATTTAATAGTAATCCGTTCTTGTGTTTGCCAGATTTGTCTCTGCCGTTTTATGTATCCACAGATGCGTCTGATGTTGCGATTGGTGGGACGTTGATGCAATCCAGAGAGGGCACCCTACTTCCTGTTGTTTATGCCAGCAGGAAGCTGTCTCCTACTGAATGCCGTTACAGCGTGGGCGAAAGGGAAGCACTAGCCATTTTTTGGGCAATAGGGAAGTTTACCCAATTCCTGTATGGCAGTCACTTCTTTGTCTTGACAGACCATCGTCCACTCGAAGTCTTGAACTCAGCACCCATCAAAAACTCACGCATATTAAGATGGACAATGTTTCTACAGACGTTCAACTTCACAGTTATTTATCGCCCAGGGAAAGAGAATGTCTTAGCCGATTTTTTGTCGCGCACCCCAGAGGCATTGGAAGACGATTGATGTTTATTTGTTCAATTTACATGATATTTAAAATGCATGATGTTATGAAAAATAATTTGGATAACAATAATGTTGTTGATAATAATGCTTAGTGAAGTCAGGAATCTATATTTTGCATGCATTTAGTATTGTATTGTCGATATATTGAGGAGTGAGTGTGTGTTTTCAAGTGTTCTTATTTGCTCTCTCGTACTGGTGCTGTTTGCCGCGACATGAATCCAGTTTTCCGACCGAGACTACGACAAGTCCTAGTGCTCGGTCGTCCTCGGGAGGGGGGAAAAGCTGTCGCGTGCGAATGTGCACCAGAACGCACCAGTACGGAGTGAGCAAATAAGACGTCAAAACAATACGTAACGTTGTTATGATATTGTTGTTGTCTGAGCAGTTGATGTATATAGTCCGAAGGAGACGGACGTGGGAATCCTTGAGGACGCTTTACCCCGGGATCCCACGGAAGCAAACGTTATTAAAGTTGGATCCTTGAGGACGTTTTACCCCGGGACTCCAAGACCTCAGCAGGAAGCTGGTGAGCACTACATTCTCGGCAGCAAGCCGGTATACTTTCATTGCTTAATTCGGACTTGTCCGAGGACCAAGATGATTGTCATGATCTCAAGGTCGGACTGCGACCTATCGTGAGGACATACCATTACATGGATGTACGAGTGAGCTTTGGTTGAACGAGTTGATTATTGATTGCATACGTATTCTTGTGTTGATCATTGCTGATTGTATATATCAATACAACCATTGGAACTTAACGCATAGCGTTCGAGCTCTACATTTTGAAAGCATTGATTAGTAACTACTGTTTTACCCCTACTTGGCCTATTTCATCTTGGTACCACACACTCAGCATGAAGCTCTGCACGTCCCAATGAAGGTCCGCACGTAACAGTACTTAATGGGCGAGGGACTCAATGAGTGAGGGACTCAACGAGTAAGGGACTCAACGAGTGAGGGACTCAACGAGTGAGGGACTCAATGGGTGAGGGACTCAACGGGCGAGGTACTTAACAACATGCCGACTGCCTTGACCCCTTTGGATATTACCTGGTACTCATTTTTGAGCTGAGTTGACCTGGCAGTCAAGGTCAGTGTTCAAATTTAAAAAAGAAAAAATCCGCCATGATTTAGTCTTAAACTCTTTAAGCCAGAAGGTGAGTATCTAGCCACCAAGAGACTGCATCTTTTGCAGTGGGAAGACAAAAACAGATAAATACCTAGATAAGGAAGAAGATAGGAGCTTTTGAGCTGAAATGATATGGACAGATTCTCAGAATACAAAGGACAAAGAAGACAAGAAATACTGACATCCTAGAAGATCTGAACATCCAGAAGATAGGCTGGTTGACAATATTTTCACTCATTTGTCATGCTTTGGCCACATCAAGATTCATGGCGGATTGGAAATAACAATAGCAGAAGACACAGCACCAGGAAAGAAGGCTGGGGCCAGTCAGCTTGAAGATAGGCACAGGATATAAGTGATATTTTGGTTAAAAAAGTGCATGATGCGGGACATCCGGGCAGAATGTGGATCATATCTTTGTTATTGTTTCACCTAATCTATATGGCTAAGCCATTCAGGTAACTATCTTTTTGCTTTCGCCTTGCTCTCTTTCTAATAATCATGCAAGTTGATACCAAGTTCTCAAGTCCATTTCTTCTCAAATCATATAAAAAAAATTTAAAAAAAGCATAGACTTTAATTTTTTAATCAGTTTATGGCATTTATTTGTTTAGAGGAGGAGTGCTTAAATGTTTTCAATCATTCCAGATATTCTTTGCATTGTTCTCAAAAATAACATTTCCATTGTTACAAATGCACTGCGAGATAGTTCTATGATTTGATTACACACACACACAAAAACCATTACTTACTTTCAGCATACAAGAATGGCAGATAAAGCTCATTTGTCAATAGAGGTTCCGGAAGATCACGGAAATATTCTTTCAGTAATGCACCAACATCGTGTGGGTTATGTTCGTCTGTGAGTTTCACCATTTTCCCACAGTCAAACTCCTCCCGGAGCTGTCAAATTATCAGAAAATTCAAATTTTAATGACAGCATAGTATCATTGCCTCTGTAACTCATTTAATACCAAGGAACTCACCATGATTTTTTCCTAGCTGTTTTCTTGATTAAAGTAACTCTTTCGGTCCCAAGCAGCACATCATGTATGATAAACTCATTCTCAAGAATTCCAAACAATACACTGTATGTATGCTCCGTTACTTATTGCATTGGGTCATAGAATACTAAAGAAATCTGGCATTCTCACTTGCCTTTTAGAAATGGTTGTACTTATGATCTTTCACATTTTAAAACTATACAATATAGAGTTCCATACTGTATCAATGTATCAGCAGCTTTTAAAAAGGCTTTAAAAAGCCTGAACAAAACATATAACTCTAAAGTGTATAGTTTTTAAACCAAGTTACATATTTTCAATTCCGATGTTAGAAGATTATTATAGCGTGAAGTGTAACCAGAGGGTCTGGATGGCTCACTATAGTCAGAGGAAAGGCAAGAAGGACATATAACAAGATTGTGATTAGTACCATCAGTATTGGAACTCTGCACTGGCTTCTGAAAATGAGGACGGAGCATGCATGGGTATGCCTCGAGTGCTGTGATGTCAATTCTAGACTCAACTCAATTCTGATGTTATTTTAGTTTCAATACATGCCAGTGAAAGTTTGAAAGCCGCGAAAGACATGGAACGAAAGTTACATGCTTTGAAAATCAAAATCCTGATGAAAATAATGAACATAAAATTGGATGAATTCAAGAGGGGTGAAAAAATAAGAGAAATGTTTGAGCAACCACTAGTATCAACCGTTATAGAACATAGAAGATGGCATTATATTGGATACAGCAAGAGAAGAAACAAGCAGAGAATCAACAGACAGGCATATAATTTGAAATAAAAAGCAAAAGGAGGTGAGGATGCTTAAAAAAAACCCTAAAATGAAAGATGATGAGAGAGGACAAAGGTGCTGGACTGGATTCCATTCATGATATTGAAGCAATTGAACAGGATAGAATAGAATGGAGGAGTATAATGTGAACCTTATGCGACGTATAATGACACAACAGGATGATGATGATGATTATTTTTCACAGCGGTTACTTGTTTTCTTCAGCTCATGCTCTGAAGGTTGTTGGTTCCATTTTGAACTTCATCCTGTGAACTCCATCCTTTAGTTTGCTAGTACAGGTACTTTCAAGACTCCTATGATCAGGGCCTTTTGTCCTGGTGGTATGCAATGGTACACAGTACAGGCACCCTTATATTGGCATCATATTTGTCCAGGCTACTCTGATAGATAGTTTGTTGTGAGTACTGCCCACTATAATTAGACATTTTTTTGGGTGACCACTGGCACCTTTTTTCCTTTAAAAAAAAGCCTATCCTGGATCGTTGTTGGAGCTACAGGGTGCATAATTTGTGCAACACTCTAATGGACATCAAGCCATTCTGCTTACAAAGACTAAGCCATATGGGTTCAAAACTGGTGCAGTAATATTCTTCTTCTCCCTGGCGTTCACCGGCAGTAATTCTGGCAGAAAGTTCTGGTTATTTGTCAATTTATGGACTCTAGCCCTGTTACAGAAACTGAGTGTTGCGTGCACGTATGTTTTACAGGTCTGAGTCATTTGCATGCAGACTGTTGGTTCCTTGCCTCTCAGGCAGATGTGCTCTGACCTTAAAGGAAGGGCCCAATTAGTCGACTCTTACGATATGCTGTTGGGCAGGCAGAGTGTCTATTCTTCTTTTCCCGACAATGGCATCCCAGAACCCACACGGGGATGCAATAATATTGACTGGGTTGCCTTTAAATTTGAAAACTAACATGTTCTTTTATACCACTTTTTTTTTTTTAGTTGTTAACCCTTAGGCTTAGTACTATGGATATCACAACCTGTCGGCCTTGATTCCATGATAAATACCATAAATCTGGGAGAAATGTGGTTTTTCTGCCTACCCCCAGGCGTGAACCCTGACCACAAAAAGTTCGTCACCTGGTCACCTCGGAGTCTGGTTTAGCCAACTACGCTAGAGAGCCGGGCTCTTTTATCCCATTAAACCAGAGTCTGGATATTCAGGATTTGTTACACACAACCCAGGTCAACCCACCCTAGGGTGCATTAAAAAAAAAAGGGAAATCAAGGACAGTTCTGACACCTTGGTGCATAGAGCTAGTAGGGTTGCCAGTGGTATGTTAATATGATTGTCTGTGGTTGCATACTGCACCCTAGTCTCCTGGAAGTAAAGGCAGCAAACATGATACTGACCACACAAACCATCAAGTGCCAGCTGTCTTTAACAAATATGGCTCTAGCACCTAGGGTTGCCAGATTGTCCATTTCCCCCAGATTCCTCAATTTTTTTACCCAATTTTGTTTCCTATGGAGTAAGTTTAGTATGTTGATTATGTATATTTTTTAGCCTGTTAAATGTGAAAAGGCTTATTTTAAATTTAAAAAAAAAAAAACAGCAGTGAGTCACCATTCCATTTTTTTTTTTTTATTTGACAAAATCTGGCAACCTTACTAGCACTATGCACCAATGGCATGAGAACTGTCCTTGATTTACTTTTTTTTTTCTTTTTATGCAGATAGGTTAGTTACCTTGCCTATGCTGATTATCAAATACTTGCCTGTTTGACTCTCTTTTTGGAGCTGCCCACTCTAAAAATGCCCAGTGTTTGCAAACCTGAAACAGAAGTTCAGTATTTTTGTGAAATATGTCTTTAGTGAGGTTTCACTATCTGTGCACATAGTGGTGTCTGTTGAAATGTTTGGTGTTGCAGTGGTACGTTAATATGATTGTCTGTGGTTGCATACTGATTGATGTGATTGACAGAGATGGCATTACCTAAATATGTTTGAAAATTGTGATGTTTATTTAACGCCGGATGTTAATATATTCATCTGTGGTGTAATATTGGTATGATTATCCATATTGTTAAACTGACATCTTCATCTGGGGTGTTATTCTTGATATGTTAATCTGTGGTGTTCTGTTGGTACATTTATCTCTAGTGATGTTATGTTGGTATGAACATCTCTTGGGATGTTACACTGATATACTTTTTTCTAGTGGTGGTATGTTGGCAGATGATCACTAGCGGCATTATGTTGATATGATTATTTATAGTGGTGGTACGCTGGTATGATTGGTTTTCAGTGGTGTTATGTTGCTGTGGTTATCTGGGGTGTTATACTGATATGTTTACCTATGGTGTTATGCTAGTATTTGGGTCTCTAGTGGTGTTATATTGATGTGTTTTTCTGTTGTATTGTGATGATTTTTGTTATCAGTGGTGATGTTTATAAGCTTATCTGTGGTCTTATACTTGTATAGTTATCCATGGTTTAAAATTGATATGTTTATCTGGGGTGTTATATTAGTATGTCTGTCTCTAGTGGTGTTATACTGATATGTTTATCTGGGGTGTTATATTAGTATGTCTGTCTCTAGTGGTGTTATACTGAAATGTTTATCTGGGATGTTATATTAGTATGTCTGTCTCTAGTGGTGTTATACTGATATGTTTATCTGGGGTGTTATATTAGTATGTCTGTCTCTAGTGGTGTTATACTGATATGTTTATCTGTCGTGTTACATGTTTGCCGGTGGTGTTTTACTGATATGTTTTTTAAATTGATGATGTTATGATGAAATGTTTATCTGTGGTGTTATGTTGATATGTTTATCTGTGGTGTTATGTTTATAAAGTGGTGTTATGCTGAAATGTTTCTCTGTAGTGTTATGTTGATATGGTTATCTGTGCTGTTATGTCAATGTTTGTTTTTTAGTAGTCTTATAGTGCATGTTATACCGATCTATGGTGTTATGTTGGTATATTTGTGTCATGATGTTACATTGTTATGTTTACCTCTAGTTCTGTTATACTGGTATGATCATTTGTAGTGATGTTATGTTGGTATGTTTATCTGTGGTGTTATCCTGGTGTGTTTATCTGTGGTGTTATATTACTATTTTTATAAATGGTGTTATGCTGATATGTGTATCTATAGATTATGTTAGTATATTTTTGTCTGTGTAGTTATGTTGATATATGTGTTTATGATGTTATAGTGTAAGTAAAGTTTGCATTGTTTTGTTGATGTGTTTGTTGGTGGTGTTATATTGATATGTTTGTATGTGGTATTATGTTGATATTCTGTGTTTTTTAATATATTGTTAAGTATGTGGTATCTTGTTGATATATATATATATATATATATATATATATATATATATATATATATATATATATATATATATATACATGTTTGTGGTGTTATATTTATATCTTTGTCTGTGGTGTTATGTGGAAATTCTGTGCTGAAATATTGTTAAGTTTGTGGCATCATGTTGATGTGTATGTGTGTGGTGTTACACTGATATGTTTGTCTGTGGTGTTATGTTTATGTGTTTCTATGGGTTTATGTTGATATGTATCTTTTGATATGTGTGTGTGGTGTTATTATGTTTGTGGTGTTATGTTGATATGTGTGTGGTATTATTATGTTTGTGGTGTTATTATGTTTGTAATGTTATATTTATATCTTTGTCTGTGGTGTTATGTTGAAATTTTGTGCTGATATATTGTTAAGTTTGTGGCATCATGTTGATGTGTATGTGTGTGGTGTTACACTGATATGTTTGTCTGTGGTGTTATGTTTATGTGTTTCTACGGGTTTATGTTGATATGTATCTTTTGATATGTGTGTGTGGTGTTATTATGTTTGTGGTGTTATGTTGATATGTGTGTGGTATTATTATGTTTGTGGTGTTATTATGTTTGTGGTGTTATACTGATATGTCTGTGGTGTCATGTTGCTTGTCTCACTGTTATGTTGATATATCTAAGTTATGTTGATATGTCTGTGGCATTATGTTGTTAAGTATGTGGTGTTGTTGTAATAAGTTGTTAGTGTCATACTGATATGTTTATGTGTAGTATTATGTTTGTCGGCAGACAAATAAATCTATGATATCATTCTGATATGATGTCTTTGCATTAGGTAATATTCACCATACGTCTCACTACTTACCATAAGTCTCAATATGTTTAAAACACGCCTTGACAACATATGGTACTTGAGTTATGCCTTGATTTGCAAGATGGCAGCCATCTACAGACAGACTGTTAGGCCGGGCTGCAGGGTGGGATGGGGGCAGCGTCAGGGCATCTATTAAACTGGAATTTGAACTCTGGCCACATTCTGAGTCTGATAAACTATCAGAGCTGGCTGTTCTCTGAGGAGGTCAGTAGGCGTCAGTTAGTTAGTCAGTAAATCATAAATCCAACTTCACATCAATTGGTTCACTCTATAACTGCTCTATTCCAATCACAAAGAATGCCAATCACTGTTCCTTGTAAAAACAAAATGGAGACAGCAAAACCAACAGCATAAACATGCATTAAATCCATAAGGCAGCTTTCAAAAGTGCTAACACAAACAATTGAACAGTAATGTAGTAGTAGTTCACCATCAATGGAAGCAGTAATTACAGCTGATCAACATTTGTACATACAATACTGCATAAGGCATCTGAGGGATTAAGCCGTTTCTGCAAAAGAGCCAACAAACGGATTTTTATTTTCATAGGATCAAGGAGTCATACTTGTAAAACGAACGTGCACGCAACACTCAGTTTCTGGACCAGTCCAGAAGTGGATGAACAACCAGAACTTTTGACAGGAGTTTAAAGCCAGTGAACGCGAAAAAGAAGAAGAAGAAGATTTGGTACAATCCCAACAACTGTCACCAGTAGGATTAACGATAATCTCCCCACGGTACACACTAGGTCGCTTCTGATTAGCCGGCCTCCAGTCATCCGACCTTCGCACACTGCTAAGGAAGTGTTCGGCAATCCGTTCAAATCGCGTGTTGTATATTTATTTAATCAGGCAACTGCTTTTAACACTACAAAAACATTTACAAACTGAGTCTAACCCACAAGCCCCCTAAAGAGTGCTGCAACCTATGTCCCTAGCTCCCTAAAGAGTGCTGCAACATATGTCACAGGCATTCTCTTTTTTGGAAGAAAAACGTAAATACAAGACAAGCCAGACCCCCCCCCCCCCTCCCCCCCAAAACCCCTCTCCCTCCCGGGACAGCAGACGATTCTGAAAAATCTATGAATGGAACGCGATGTAGTTCGCCTGGGAAGATTATCGTGGATCTTACCCTGTCCCCAAACAAAGGGAGATTTTTAAAAAATGCGTCAGACATTGGAATGTTCGCAGTTTAGGAGACTACGGGTATTGTTTCGACAGTTATTTTAAGAATTAAATTTCCAATACGATATCATTTTGGTGTGTTGGCAGCTTTTCTTCAATATCAAACTTTACACGTGGAAAGCTTTCTCCGGACACGACTAAACACTACATGTTAAACACAGTACTAACATACTGAGTAATATAAAAGAATTATGTTTAGTCATATACCGAGTAATGCTTATTGTACTGGTGTTCACAATGCTTGTCCTTTTTATGATGAAATGTTTCGTTATTTGAAGCCCTACTCCGGCTTTGCAGGGGGCCGCAATATAGCCTGGTCATAAATATGGCCTAAAAGCTGAACGCGGTTTCTGGAACCTCTCCGCGGTGATCCTCACCCATTCAATACAGCATGAGGCATCACAAATTCTGTGGGGAAGAGCCTACTTACCATTTTCTAAATATGCAGTTTGCAACCCAAACAATGGGCACTGTAAGAAAACATTCAAAATGAAATCTAGAGCTCACTGTGTCGCACCAAGCACTCAACTCAACAGCCTGGTGACATAGCTTTACACATTTCAGCTGTATCTAGAAGCAAATAATTTGTCTAAACTAAAACAGTCCATCGCATATTCAGTTTAGTGAAGTAAAATTGTAGACTACCCCCCCCCCCCCCCCCCCCCCCCAACCCCCTTCCCCCAAATTTTGACAATTGCCCAATATCTGTTAGATTAATTCATTTTACATAAGTTGTAACTTGAGCACACTTTGTGGGTTCTGGGGCCCCATTACATGGGGGGGGGGGGGGGACAGATTAGACTCACAGCACACCCCCCCCCCCCCTTTTTTTTTTCCACCAAAGCATGTGACTAATTATTAGTAGTTGCTTTTCAGTTAGAGAGTATCTGCCTGAAAGGTAAGGAGCCAACATACTGCATACAAATCAGCCACAGTCGTAAAATGGATGTGCATATAAAACTCAAGATCTTGAAAAAGATCTCAAATTTCAGAAGTGGACAAACAACTAGAACTGTTTGACGGGAGTATACAGCTGGGGAGCACTAAGAAGAAGTTACTTGAACCTGTCACAGATTGAATTTGCATTTTTCCACTCATAAAAACTCAAATGTTATCGCTCTGTGGCAACAGTTCTCAAAATGTTTTACAAAGATACCATATTGTATAGAGACAAAGTGAACCACGATGCCATTCTTTAAAAAAAAAAAAAAAAAAGGCTTTTTAAAAGGGCAAATGAAAATACTAAAAGAAAATTAGTAACCACGGAAATGAGATGTCTGAGAAGGGCTGTAGGAGTGACCATAAGAGATACGATCAGGAATGAGATCATAAGAGAAAAAGTCGGCACAGAACCCATTCTGGATTACATACGAAGACAGCAAGTGAAATGGTTTGCCCACTTAGAGAGAATGCCTTGTGACACCATACCCTACAAAGCATACATGGAAATAGAAGAAGGACGTAGAGCACGAGGTAGACCACGAACAATATAGAAGGATAACATCAGAGAAACTCTACAACAGCACGATGTGCCTATGGTAGAGGCGGCCAGAAGAGCTAGAAACAGAACCTTATATCTCCCTCGACACCCACAGCGGTAAAAGAGGAAGTGAAGAAGAAGAAGAAGAAGAAGAAGAAGAAAAAGAAGAAGAAGAATGAAAATACACCAGAAATAGATTCTGGCTGCATCAGTTATATCAGTTACATATGATTCAGGTACTAAAGTGGATTTGTGGGAACTGGATGCCACAGATCATGTGGCATGGAGAGGAAAAATCACTAATGGATAGAAGTCATCATCATCATAAATTTCCACTTCTGCTGTTTAGCGTTGTGGGGTAGGAAAAGTTTGCGATCCATTGCTTGATGGGCAGCAATGGCTGTTGTCATTCCGTGTCGATGTAGAAGCTCTTTAATGTCATCAATCCATATTTGCCTAGGGCGGCCTCTTGCTTCCACTTCAGATCTTCTCATGTGTTGTCCCTCCATTAGTAGGTATTTGGCTGCATTCTTACTCAATAACCAAACCATTTCATCTTGTGTTTCTCAATGAATTTGTTGCATGATGTTGTTCCTACTGTCTGTCTGATAATATCATTTCTAACTTTGTCTTGGATGTTAAGTTGGCGGCTTTTCTGAGGCCTCTCATTTTGCAGTTGATAATGTTTTGTAGGGATAGGAGTACAACCTAAAATAATTGCTGATGGGATGAGAGCTAAGCGTCTAAGAAAATGCATGATAAATACATGTGATGGCAACAATGGTCCTGAAATCACATGCTTTAATTGTGGAAGATCCCCTTGTGGGTTCCGGGGCCCTATTATAGGGAAAAAAAGAATAGACCCACTGCCTACCCAAAAGCATGTCATAAGAGTCAACTAATTTGGAGCTTCCTTCCAAGTTGGAGTGCATCTGCCTGAGAGGCAAGGAACCTGCAGTCTGCACACAGATGAGTCAGATCTGTAAAACAGATGCACACACAACACTCAGGTTTTGAAACAGTACTGCAGTCCAGAAGCAGATGAACAACCAGAACTTTCTGCCAGAGTTTACAGCTGGTGACCGTGAAGAAGAAGAGGAATTGTGGAAGACTTTTCAAAATGCAAGCAGATCTTGCCAGTCACACTCGCCATCAGCATGGGTTGTGATTCCCATGTCCCTCTATAGCACAAAATGTCACTTTTGTCTGGAAAGATAGAAAAGTGTCAGCAACAAGGAAGATCTGTTCAAAGTAACCAAGACAGAAAGGGGTCAGCAACAAGGAAAATCCATTAAAGTAACCAATATGGAAATGTGTCAGCAACAAGAAAGATCCATTTAAGTAACCAAGATGGAAATGTGTCAGCAATAAGGAAGATCTATTAAAAGTTATCAAGATGACAAATTGTCAGCAACAAGGATGATCCCTTCAAAGTAACCAAGCACCTGGGAGATGAAAACAACAACACCAATAACAATAACAAAAACATCATCACCACTTCCACACCACTAAAACCACCACCAGTGACAACAATAACAACAACAACAAAACTACCACCAGTATCAATTACAACACCAACAACCCCACAACAACAACAACCCTACCACAAATAAAACCACAACAATAGCAACAACAGCAACTCCCTATGTGGGAAGACAGTAAACAGTCAAAAAATCCTATCCCTGGGAGATAACAATAACCACAATGATGGCAATGATGTACATTATAACAACAACACCTAGTATTTAAGTCTTGGGAGAAAAACAACATAATAACAGCAACAAGATAACAACAACATTATAACAACAACTCATGGTTAAGAAGACATAATCAAGTAATTAGGCCTGTGGCAGACAACAACAAGATAACAAAAACCACAACACCAAGATGACAACAGCAAAAACAACAACAACTCACTTCATATGAAGACACAGTCAAAAGCAACAAAAAAAAAACAAAAAACGATGGCAACATCAGAAACAACTCACCCTGTACGAAGTCACAGTCAAGGAATCCAGCCTTTGAGAGACAACAATGCTACCATTCTCCATCGATCCTTGAGAGGAGCTGCTGGATTTCCTGGCAGAACTAAACACCAACAAATTTTCGCTGCTGTCGGATGTTGGCTTCAGAGAAGCTGGCGATGCTGAGGGGATAGCAGCAGCTATTTGTCTTCTCCTGGATTCCAGCTCTCGATCATTCAGCACACATCGAAGCAAGGGGATCCCAAACACCAGGCCCACTGCAGTTCCTTCTGGTAAAATGGTTTTAAAAGATACAAAACTGAGAACTGCTGGAGGAGAGAACAATACACATTGGAGAATTATTGATGGTGAGAACAAAACATAGAAACATTGGACGAGGCTCCTTTTTGTAGTCCATGCCATGTGTTGTTGGCTGTCATGTCTTTCCACAACCTTCTGTTTCATGTCTTCTTCTCATAGTCCATGCTGTGTGGCACTGGTGGTCACGACTATCCACAATCTTCTGCCTGGTGTACATTCAGACGGTTCTGCCATGCCGTGAGATCAAATTATCCAGCATTCTCTCTCTCTCTCTCTCTCTCTCTCTCTCTCTCTCTCTCTCTCTCTCTCTCTCTCTCTCTCTCTCTCTCTCTCTCTCTCTCCCCATTTCCCCACCTACACAAGGTACACTAGTTTTCTTCTTCTCATGTCATGACCAAAGAATTTAAATGTTTTTTTTTATGTGGGCAATCGGCTTTCTTCAAGACAGGGTCGTTCAAGACATTTTCAATACTCTTTTTTTAAAATCCGTCTAGTGTGTTCTCATTATTCATCTATAAAACCACATTCCACTGTTTTCACTCATACTATTAACAATTACGTCTTTCTTAAGACGAATTTTTTTTTTGTTATTTGAAGCCCCACCCTAGCTTTTGCCAGGGGCCGCAATATAGGCAGGCCATAAATATGGCCAATTGTCTGAACGCGGTTTCTGGGACCTCTCCACGGTGATCCTCACCCACATGGTGGCACTTTGTGTCAACGGGTGTTTATCGCTTGTGTGATGTCCTGGTGGGGTAGAAAGTCAGTCAGTCAGTTTTCACTTAATTTTAAATTTCTGGCAGTTATGTGTCACTTCCAGCCATCAAAACTACAATGTTGACAGTTCACAGCTTGTTTACTGACATACTGTGTTGATCTAGTTATCATGAGAAGGGTAAAATAACAACAATTTGTTCAGAACCACGGAAACAGAAAACAGTAAAAAGCTGAGAAATCCAGAAGTAGACAACAACACAATGTTGAAATAATCTTTTAAAGATTACGAGGATTCCAAGATCCTCTATCCTAGAAATAAAGTCAGGTGAAGAAAAGGACCCTTCTGCACAAGTAGTGCCTCAAGCAAATGATGCTGGATTTTTTTTTTACAGACCAATCAGCACTCACTGTGTGATGTGGTCAAACCAAGTCCACCCTCCCTCCAATTTTACTTCCCGGGACATTACCTGATGTTTATATATTGTGCTATCCACGGGGAAAGGCTAGTTTGCTGCCCCGTTGTCTATTCTCATTCAGCTTTTTTGTTTATGCAATTGTGTGTATCTCTCGGCAATGTTTCTCCCTCTCTCTATCTCTCGCGCTCTCTCTATCTCTCTCTCTCTCTCTCTCTCTCTCTCTATATATATATATATATATATATATATATATATATATATATATATATATAGATAAATGGTTCAAGCATTGCAGTATTCTAGCTCTTATGATGCCAGTAATTAGAGGTTATTTAAACAGACGTTGAAGAAAATTATACCAGGGAAATGCAATGAAACAACACAAGCTATGCAGCCAGCAAAAGACAGGAAACTACTCCTACAATCAGCTCCTCTCTTACGACATACGCAGCAGGACAAAAGAAGAAGATGATGGATTCTGTTGCTGCTGTACAAAGGAGAAGGAAAAGAAGAAGAAAGAAGAAGATGAAGAAGAAGTAATTTTAGTAGAAGAAGAAGAAGAAGAAGAGCAGAAGGAGAAAATGAAGAAAAAGTAGGAGGAGAAGAAAAAAAAATAGTAGCTTTCTGGTGGCTATGATATTTGTTGGCATGAGTATAAAAGTGAAGGTCAGTGGATTCACATTGGAAACATCAAAGTGATAAAAACTGACGAGGCGAGGAAGCTGGCAAAGTAATTAGAATGTTTTCCATGAGCTTTGATGACGTCACCGTTCGGCAAAAGAACTATGACCCCATCATATGACGATAAAAGTGATGATGCAGTGGACAATGATGGTGTGGATGGTGGTGATGATGATGTAAATGGTGGGGATGATGAGGATAGTGGTGATAATGATGTGGATGGTGGTGATGATGATATGGATGATGATGATGAGGTGGATGGTGGTGATAATGAAGATTTTAACTACGGTGATGATAAAGTCGATAGTGATAATGGTGATGTCGTTAATGATGATGTTGTAACACAGCTTGAACACTGTCACCTATCACTCGCTATGATGACTCACCTTTGGCCATTGTGTCCAAGGCGGAGGCACTCACGGACTTGGAGCGTTTTTTCAAAGAAAGCGGCGACTTTTTCACTCTGGGCGATTCAGCCGTTTCTGCAAAAGAGCCAACGAAAGTATTTTATTTTCATAGGGTCAAGAAGTCATACCTGTAAAACGGATGTGCACGCAACACTCAGTTTCTGGAACAGTCCAGAAGTGGATGAACAACCAGAACTATCCGCAGGAGTTTGAAGCCTGTGAACGCGAAGAAGAAGATTTGGTACAATCCCAACAACTGTCACCGGTATGATCAACGATAATCTCCCCACGGTACACACTTGCTCGCTTCTGATTGACCAGCCTCCAGTCACCCGACCTTCGCACACTGCTAAGGACGTGTTCGGCAATCCGTTCATATCGCGTGTTGCATATTTATTTAATCAGACAACCGCTTTTAACACTACAAGAACATTTAAAAACTGAGTCTAACCCACAACTTTCCTATAGAGTGCTGCAACCTATGTCACAGGCATTCTCTTTTTTGGAAGAAAAACGTGAATGCAAGACAGCAGACGATTCTGAAAAATCTATGAATGGAACGCGACGTAGTTCGCCAGGGAGGATTATAGTGGATCTCACCCTGTCCCCAAACAAAATACGTCAGACATAGGGATGTTCGCAGTTTAGGAGACTACGGTCCAGGTCAAAATTAAAAGGTCGACCACTTTAAGACTGCTGCTAGCTAACCAGGAGACTAGGAGTATTGTCTCGACAGTTATTTTAAGAATTTAATTTCTAATACGATATCATTTTGGTGTGTTGGCAGCCTTTTAAACTTTACACGTGGAAAGCTTTCTCCGGGCATGTCTAAACACTACATGTTAAAAAACACAGTCCCAACATACTGAGCGATATAAAAGAATTATGTTTAGCCATATACTGAGTAATGCTCGGGGCAGAAATAATTTAAAACGATAAATGAAGGTTAAAATAGTTCTTTCCCTTTACGAACGCATGATCTCTTGACAAATGGTGGTAGTCGACCTTCTCTGATATAAATTGTAATTTATGATCTGTTATCTGAAGTGTGTCTTAAGCGCAGTTTATAGACATGAAATTGCACTTCAGTTCGCTAATTTAACTATCTTCCTTTTTTATGACTTTGAGACCATGGGAGGTAAGTTTGTAGACAAAACAACAGGATAGAAAGTGTGTACGAATCTAAACTCTGGTCTCTTGGCCCAGACATGAAACGAAGTCTGCAGGGTTTCCAAATTTGTATTTCGAAACATTTATTCCTCACCTGATCCTCAGTAAAGGTGCAAACTATCACAGGACCAAGAATTCAATATCGAAGTGGGTAATACAGCAACAAACCATGACGTCAATCGCAACTGACCTCCAAGGGTGGAGAGAGCTAATCAGTCAACAGAAACTGGTGACCTAACGACATAGTTACAGGATGATGAGGAAGTCAGCAACAACAATGAGCAGATTACCAGAACGAGTTTGGGAGAGCAGAAAGCTCAAGATAAAAACCAAAACTCTTGGTATTTAGGGTATGTGTTTCTTTTTTTTTTTTTTTTAATGGCAGGGAAACTTGGTCGACTTATTCACACCCTGAAACACAACTAAGCAGCTTTTACATGCGGTACCTACAAATAATACTTGGCATTAAGTGGCTTAACAAGATCTCAATCACTGAGGTACTGGAAATAGAAAGTAGTACATCCGTTTTCTCAATGCGCAGTCTTCGAAGGCTTAAATGACAAGGACACATTTAGACAATGAAGGATGGAACAGTCCCTAAGGACATCCTTTGTAGTGAATTATAGATAGGTAGTAGATGCTAGGGTTGACCTCTGCTACGATGTAAAGATTTGGGCAAGCGGGACTTATATCATACAAGTATTGGGGTAGATTCGTGGAAATAGGATGTCATGAACCTTACTGTGTGGGGGAAAAGGGGTGGAGGGAGGGAGGGGTGCGGTGGAAATCAAATAGGAATACAAGGAGAAAATGTTTACAAATAATTCAAGGGGGTGCCCCAAAATAACTGTGCTATATGGCTATACGACTGAAATTGAGTTTCTGGGATTTATATCTGTTTGATTTTAATCCTTGAAATGTTAATCCTACAGATTATAATTCTGGAGGTGAAAGGATGTGTGTGTGTGTGGGTGAGATTGGGATGGGGGAGGGGGGGGGGGGAGTCAACTAAAGATCTTACGAGTATCCGGGCTTGAGCGGAAGTTGTTAAGGTCCCGATGGAAGATTCTGGAAAAAGCGAAACTGTAAGGCCAAAAACTTGAGATCAACTAGTCATTCGGGAGCAGGTTTAGAGTAAGCCTCTCTTTGAGTGATGGATCGTACTTTTTTTGGAAATTTTCGTGGAGATCTGTTAGGGTTATGAAGGGCTTTGAAAATTGACCCTGGCTCCCAGGTCGACCCAGCCTTAAATGGGTACCAGGTTAAGTCTTTAGAAGTAAAGGCGGCCGGGGTGATGTTGATCACATCACCCACCAAGTGCCGATTGGTCTATAAATTACAGGTCAAGCCATATATGACTAGTACGCTTAAAGGCAGGAAAATGGTCTTTTTAACGGTGAGTATTTTGAACAGTTTTCTTTCTTGAGTACAAGAAAGTAGAACGACGTCCTTTATGCTAGGGTTGACATTGGTAAAGTCTAGACTGTCACTGACAAACTTTAAAGCATGTATGTAAGTTATCAAATAGATAACAATCACCAGATGCATGGAAAGCTGAATGCTTTTAGAGGAGCGGTTTTCTACGGCCCATTTACGAGTCTGACGGGTGTGCTATAATGTCGATTCTTAAATCTGTAATCAGCCATCTCGAATACGAAATTGTGTACTAAGTGCAACATACTAGACAAAGATTGTGTACTAAGTGCAACATACTAGACAAACATTTTGTACTAAGTGCAACATACTAGACAAACATTTTGTACTAAGTGCAACATACTAGACAAACATTTTGTACTAAGTGCAACATACTAGACAAACATTTTGTACTAAGTGCAACATACTAGACAAACATTTTGTACTAAGTGCAACATACTAGACAAACATTTTGTACTAAGTGCAACATACTAGACAAACATTTTGTACTCAGTGCAACATACTAGACAAACATTTTGTTCTAAGTGCAACATACTAGACAAACATTTTGTACTAAGTGCAACATACTAGACAAACATTTTGTACTAAGTGCAACATACTAGACAAACATTTTGTACTAAGTGCAACATACTAGACACAGATTGTGTACTGAGTGCAACATACTAGACAAACATTTTGTACTAAGTGCAACATACTAGACAAACATTTTGTACTAAGTGCAACATACTAGACAAACATTTTGTACTAAGTGCAACATACTAGACAAACATTTTGTACTAAGTGCAACATACTAGACAAACATTTTGTACTAAGTGCAACATACTAGACAAACATTTTGTACTAAGTGCAACATACTAGACACAGATTGTGTACTGAGTGCAACATACTAGACAAAGATTGTGTACTAAGTGAAAAATACTAGACGAAACATGCTAGCCGGCTCGAAAGTCTATAGTTCAAACTCGCTCTGAGGTGGATTTTTCTCCTTCACAACTGACCTTGGCCGACAGGTCAAGCAGCCTAAAATATCCTGGGAAGTAAAGGTGGCCGGTGTGATGTTGAGCACATTACCCATTAGACTGCTGATTAGACTTTAAAAATATAAATCTATGATTAAGTGCTCGATGCGAAAAGGTGCTTAAAGGGTAAATAACTGTACTCTTCACATACTAGGTGTAGAATGTGTTCAAACATGGGATTGGTATGCAAAACATAAAGGATCCTTTTCCACGCCTTCGGGTGCATTGGGCATATAGGGCTCGACCTATGTATTATAGACAAATCGGCACTCGTGGGTGATTGATCACCATCACGCCAAACGTCTTTACTTCCCAGAACTCCACTTGGTACCCATTTAAAGATAGTCGACCTGGAAGCCAAGGTAACTTTTTTTTTTAAACCAAAAATACAGATCACCATCACGCCAAACGTCTTTACTTCCCAGAACTCCACTTGGTACCCATTTAAAGATAGTCGACCTGGAAGCCAAGGTAACTTTTTTTTTTTAAACCAAAAGGTTTGGATCCGTTAAAACAAAACATATCTTTATTTATTTTTTTTTTTTTTACTTACTACCCTTGCCTCCCACATCTTTTTTCTGGAAATAATTCATTGCCTGTATTTACACGTGCCACAGAGCCTCAGCTGGCCTGACAGACATGTGGACTGGTTTTGGAGAGACCAAAGTTAGGTAATTTCTTTTTTTTGTAAATGAAACATCTATTCATAGCATGTGCCGATGAATATTTTCTAGCCGCAACGTTCACTTGTCGTCTATGACTGCGACAATGTGGAGCTAACTGCTTATAGTTGCGAAAACATTCTAAACGGCTGTGATTTGATAATTCCACATCTTCTTAACTAAAAGTAGTGTTGCCTAGTTATTTTTGGAAATGCATATCTCATCCATAACGAGGCTAAAATAGCCATTATGCACTGTTCATAAGAGCAGTTTAAACAAATTCGTTTACTAACACAGGTTATTAAAGCTGTTAAAACAAATCTACAATTTAACATGGCTCTATTCAAACTTCTCTAACTCGGCTGTCTAAATCCTAATTTAATAATATGATGGAGGGATGTTTGAGAAAATGGTAGATAATGAAGATAATGTGCAAATCTGTGGAAGTTTAGAGCAAGCTGGATAAGAAAGTGCACGACACGGGAGAGCTGGCTAGAGACCGAGTTTCTTTCAGACAGACCGTGATGAGAGCGACGTTCTGCAAAGGACCTGCTACATGACAACGAGGATTAGAGACAACAATGTTTCATTATACCTGTTTGTTTTATTAACCAGCTGGATGGTCAGTTGGATGGTTGTTTAGATGATAAGATTGTGGTTGGTTTGAGAGATGTCTGGTTGGGTGAATGGCTAGATGTTGGTTACTTGGCTGAATAGCTAGATGTTGGTTGGTAGAGTTGTTTCTTAGGTGGTTAGGATGTGCGGTATTAGAAAGATCAGGAATTACAACAGTTTTCTTTCTCAATGCTCCGTCTACAAAGGCTCAGCTAGCTGGTGACGTCTAGATAATGGAGGACGGAGAAGTCCCTAAGGACATCCTCTATAGTGAATTAAAGACGGTAGAAAACGTTTTAAAGATATGTGTAAGTAGGACATGAATGATACATGTATTGAGGTTGACTCGTGGGACAAAATGCCATGGACCGTTTTGGCTGGAAGGGACACATCAGGAAGGAGATAAGAATGAAGAAAGAAATTGCTGCAGAAAGGTTGAGAACTGAGCGTCTGAGAAGAAAAGTACTAAACACAAATGTTGACAATAACGGTCCTGAAATCCGATGCTTTAATTTGGAAGACTTTTCTTAATGCGGGCGGGTCTTGCTAGTCACAATCGCCATCGCCATTGACTGTGAGTCCTATGCCTCCTCATAGTGCAGTATAACACCATCATTTATAAAGACGGATAGATGCTGGTTAGGCTGGTGAGTCGAGGTTCCAACATCACACTAGACGGGCTGCCTCATAACTGCTCAGATTCTGTATCGGTGGAAATCACACTGACTGTCCCATTTGGAAACTACTGAAAAACTTGTCAAACTCAGCAAAATCTTGGAGCACAAACAATTCAAAAGGCAGCTATCACATGTACCTACACCAACGGCCCCACAACAGAATTGCAGCTCATCGTTGATGCAAGCAGTCTGTTACGGAAGCCGGGGATGGTTGATAGGCTGCAAGGGCGATTGGTTGATTAAATTTTTCGTTGGTTGTTTTGCTGAAAGGGTTGCTATCTGATGAATTACTGACCGTAGAGGTGGTGGGCGGAGGAGGGGGCGGGGGAGGGGGCGGGGGGGGGTGTTGGTTGAGTGGCTGTGTGTGTGTTTGGATAGTTGACTAATTGGAGGTTAGTTGATTGAATGGTTTGTTGGTTTGCTGGTTTAGCTGGTCGGTTAGATAGATGGATGGTTAGTTAGGTCTATTGGTGGGTTTAGGTGTTAGATGGTTGGTTCGATTATATGGTTTGGGACAAATGGTTGGTTAGCTAGATGGTTGGATGTTTGATGATTGCTCACAGGTCTGTGAGATGCTTGGTTACTTTTCTGAATGGTTTTAGGGTTGGTTGGATGGTTGGAGGGATAGACGAAGAAAAAATAAACACTAAATGTGGACGAGAGAAAAAAAAAGAGAGAGAGAGAGAGAGAGAGAGAGAGAGAGAGAGAGAGAGAGAGAGAGAGAGAGAGAGAGAGAGAGAGAGAGAGGGAGGTGGCGTAAGTTGAAGAAATACAGCGAGGGTTAACGCAAAGAGAGATAATGAGAAACAAAGAGTGAGAAAAGAAAGACAAACAGAAAGACAGAGAAAGGTAGACATTCAGGGAAAGGTGAGAAATAAATATATGTAAAAAAAAATACATCTTCAAACGAGACGGGGTAAATTAGCTGCACTTCAAGATGTCATCAAGCAGACAGACACATTTTTCAAACATATTATCTACAGCAAAGATTGTATTAGCTGAACGACAAAGCAGCGTGTGGTATGACACGGTCACACAAATTTGAAGTTTGAACTGATTTCGTCAATGGGTGAAGGTTGCAGCACTTGATTCCGGAAAACAAAGCAACAACTGGGGAAGTCGGAGCAATCGGCTGCGCCCTAGATGCTTCAAGTGCAGCCATGTCATTCCGCAGAAGTGGTCGTATCTCTTTCCATTTGTAAACAATATTTTGAGGAACAAAAGGGCGACCTAACACGCAAGGTAGGTTTTGAGTGAAGTCTAGTATTTCGTTAATTTTTTCTTTTTTTCGGAATTTATTGTTTCTTTGTGTTCATGTATCTGTCTGTCTGTCTGTCTGTCTGTCTGTCTGTCTGTCTGTCTGTGTGTCTGTCTGTCTGTCTGTCTGTCTGTCTGTCTGTCTGTCTGTCTGTCTCTCTCTCTCTCTCTCTCTCTCGATATCTGCCTCTCTGTACTTTTATCTCTATAGATGTCACTCTTAATCATGTAGCAGGTCCTTTGCAGAACGTCGCTCTCATCACGGTCTTCCTAAAGGAAATTTCGTCTTTCGTCGGCTCTGTCACCTCGTAGCACTTTCCTACTCAAGATGTCACTTGTATCCTGTGTCCATATTTGTTATTGTTCTGTCCAATCCGCTGTGGCGCTTGAGATCGCCAACATATTTTAGTTTTTGTGTGGTTTTCGCTGCCAACGGATGAGAAGGAGGGGGGGGGGGCGGAGCGGCAATTATAAGGTGACCCATTTGTTTTGGAATTGTGACTATTTAACTAACTAACTAACTAACTAACTAACTAACTAACTAACTAACTAACTAACTAACTAACTAACTAACTAACTAACTAACTAACTAACTAACTAACTAACTAACTAACTAACTAACTAAATAACTAACTAACTAACTAACTAACTAACTAACTAACTAACTAACTAACTAACTAACTAACTAACTAACTAACTAACTAACTAACTAACTAACTAACTAACTAACTAACTAACTAACTAACTAACTAACTAACTAACTAACTAACTAACTAACTAACTAACTAACTAACTAACTAACTAACTAATAGTTCATTAATTTACTTGCTAAGTCACTAATTAACTAACTAACCGTTTGACCGACTGACCAGCTAAAACAAATTAAGTAACCAACCAAAAAGGCTCACCTTTGGGTATGATCACATTACAGCCAAGCTCCAAACTCTGAAGCCTGACCAGGGCCACCTTCTGGAGCGCCAGTCGTTCTGCTTCCGTCAGACTCAGAATACTGACCGGACGTAGCTGAACCTTACGTCCACTAACACTTGACCATGCACAGGATCCCTGTAGAATATAAACGAAACAAAATAAGTTTGAAAATTTTCTCTGTTTCTTCTTTTTCCGTTCGCTTGATATAGATTATCTATATCTGTAGTGTTATCTCTAGTATGAACCTCACTGTCTTTTGTAATTCACTCAGCGACCAGTAAAGTTTGGCTTCAACCTGTGTTTGAATTAAGTTGCAGGGGTATTTTTTTTATATTTCCGAAAGAGTGTCCAAGAGCTATACAGAACCTGTACTGATATATGCATGCCTTAGGTGTGGGTTCTGGGGCCCCATTTGGGCCGGGCGGGGAGAGAGATAGCTCCCATGCCCCTAACAATCATGTCAAAAAAGTCGACTGATTAATTCCCCCCCCCCCCCTCCTCTCCCACCTCCGAAGTTAGAGCATCCGCCTGAGAGACAAGGAATCAGAATTCTTCTTTTTCTTCTTGTTCTTCTTGTTCTTGTTCTTGTTCTTCTTCTTCTTCTTCTTCTTCTTCTTCTTCTTCTTCTTCTTCTTCTTCTTCTTCTTCTTCTTCTTCTTCTTATTCTCCTGCCTTTCTAACCACCAATGGAGCATAGGACCTCAACCAACTCAGGCCAGGTCATTCTAACTTCATTCTCCAGCTCCCTTCTCCATTCGTATTTTTTTTAAAGGCCTTTTTAAAACAGAAGTCTGCATACGAGCAATTCAGATTTGTAAAAAGGATATGCATGCAAAACTGAAAATCTGGAACAAGATCAAAATCCAGAAGTGGACGAAGCAGGACTTTGTGTGGGAGTTTACATCCAGTGAACTTGAAGAAGAAGAAGAATGAATGAATTTCTACCCCACTAGAACATCACACAAGCGATAAACACCCGGTGACACAAAGTGCCACCATGCGGATGAGGATCGCGGGTGGAGAGGTCCCAGAAACCGCGTTCAGACATTTGGCCATAATATGGCCTGCCTATATTGCGGCCCCTGGCAAAAGCCAGAGTAGGGCTCCAAATGACAAAAAATTTCGTCCTAAAAAGGACGAAACTGTGTATTACTACACACATATTCACATAAAAAAAAAGAAGAAGAATAGCCACTTATAAACATCAGTGGTATGTTATGAGAAGACAGACCCTTTCATGAAATGAAGAGGTATCAGCCCATGAACTACTACATGCTGTTGGGGATCAGGCTCTGGAGATGGGCGTGACAACCCAGGCCTGTCGACAAGGCACTTGATGATAATGAAACCAACAAACTTGGCCTGCTATAACTTCTAAAAAAGAATAATAACTTTGCATGCAAGACCAAAGTTCGCATTATCTCCCGGTTTTGTTCTTCCCTTAAAAGTACATATTGGGAGCATAAGATGGTGATAACATAGCTCTTGAATTTCCGCTGATCCTCGTGTTAACAGGGCAAGGCTTTTCAGTCCCTAAAAGAACAGGCTTCTGTAAGATAACAATATATGTATGGGAGTCACTGTAGCGCTGTATCTAGCAGTGATTTGTATGAATGCGAGTGTTGAGGTATGGTATGATAGTGGTAGTGTCATATGTTGTGGGGGTATCATGGCATGTTCTGGTGTGTTTTACTCTGTGGTAGTATGGCGTGTTGTGGGGGCAGTATGGTATGTTCTGGCGTGGTGTGCTGTGGAGTAGTATGGTACGTTGGAGGTAGTATAATATGGACTGGTGGGGTATGGTGTTGTGGTTGGGTGTTGTGGTATGGTATATGTTACAGTATGGTATGTTGTGACATATTACTGAGGCATAGTGTCGCATGTTCTGGTGGGGTATGTTACGTTCAGGTGCGCTATATGTTGTGGTATGGTAATTTATGGTGTGGTATGATATGTCGTGGAGTGGTATGGTTTGTTGTGTGGTATGGTATTTCGTGGTGTGGTATGGTATGTCGAGGTATTGTATGGTATGTCGTGGTGTGGTATGGTATGTAGTGGTGTAGTATAATATGTCGTGGTGTGGTATCATATGTCGTGGTATGGTATGGTATGTTGTGGTGTGGAATGATCTGTCGTGGTGTGGTATGGTATATCGTTGTGTAGTATGATATGTCGTGGTGTGGTATGGTAAGTCGTTGTGTGGTATGGTATGTCGTGATAGAATATGGTATTTCATAGTATGGTATGATATGTCGTGATGTGGTTATATTGTAGTTTGCTATGGTTTGTTGTAGGGAAGTATGGTGTGTTGCAGTGTTGTATGGTATATTGTAGTGTAGTATAGTATGCTGTAGTGTAATATGATATGTCGTAGCGTGGTATGGTATGTTGTAGTGTGGTATAGTATGCTGTAGTGTAATATGATATGTTGTAGCGTGGTATGGTATACTGTAGTGTAGTATAGTATGCTGTAGTGTAATATGATATGTTGTAGCGTGGTATGGTATGTTGTAGTGTACTATAGTATGCTGTAGTGTAATATGATATGTTGTAGCGTGGTATGGCATGTTGTAATATAGTATAGTATGCTGTAGTGTAATATGATATGTTGTAGCGTGGTATGGTATGTTGTAGTGTAGTATAGTATGCTGTAGTGTAATATGATATGTTGTAGCGTGGTATGGTATGTTGTAGTGTAGTATAGTATGCTGTAGTGTAATATGAAATGTTGTAGCGTGGTATGGTATGTAGTAGTGTAGTATAGTATGCTTTAGTGTAATATGATATGTTGTAGCGTGGTATGGTATGTTGTAGTGTAGTATAGAATGCTGTAGTGTAATATGATATGTTGTAGCGTGGTATGGTATGTTGTAGTATAGTATGCTGTAGTGTAATATGATATGTTGTAGCGTGGTATGGTATGTTGTAGTGTAGTATAGTATGCTGTAGTGTAATATGATATGTTGTAGCTTGGTATGGTATGCTGCAGTGTGGTGTGGTATGGTATGATGCAATGTCGTGTGTGCTCTCTAGTCGGTCTTTCATAATATACAAGTTCAATTGTACTAACATGTCTATCTAGATTCACAAACACACATAGGTGCACACACACATAGGTGCACACACACATAGGTGCACACACACATAGGTGCACACACACATAGGTGCACACACACATAGGTGCACACACATAGGTGCACACACACATAGGTGCACACACATAGGTGCACACACATAGGTGCACACACACATAAGTGCACACACACATAGGTGCGCACACACATAGGTGCACACACACATAGGTGCACACACACATAGGTGCACACACACATACATTCTAGCAAACCAATATAAATTATAAGGATCAGACACACAGAGACAGACAGACAGACAGACAGACAGACAGACAGACAGACAGACAGACAGACAGACAGACAGACAGACAGACAGACAGACAGACAGACAGACAGACAGACAGACAGACAGACAGACAGACAGACAGACAGACAGACAGACAGACATGAGAGCAGGTAGGCAAAGATAACTGAGACACTACCCCCCCCCCCCCCCCCAAAAAAAAAATGCGGATCGAAGGACGCCACTTCAAGATAACAAGCGGCATTCCACTTGAACTAAACAGTAATGCCTTACAAGAACAGGGTGACACGATAAAGGCTGAAGAAATGCTACAAGACAGAAACTATTCTTAGAGAGCGCGAGAGAGATGGAGGAAGGAGAGTCAGACACAGACACACACATAAAAGAACACTGTTTAACACAATATTCTCACCAACGCTCTGCTATCAATGTCAAACATGGACACTATCTTCAGAAGACAGACAGAAAATAGTCACGACAGATATGAAATGTTTAGGTAATATGCTAGGTCTCATGGTACATCTGCATCCAAAATTACATCAGGCTTTTTTGTTTCAGTACATTACCAGTCATTTTTCAAAAGGCTCAACGCAATGTCAAAGTTTAAAATAGGTAAAATAAAAAAGGACCCTTTTCCACGCCTTTATGCGTATAGGGCTAGACCTATATTCTTATAGACCAATCGGCACAAGATGGGTGATGTGGTCAGCATCACGCCGGCCGCCTTTACTTTCCAGAGACTGCAGCCGGTACCCACTTAAGGCTGGATCGAACTGGGAGCCAAGGTCATTTTCGAAAACAGTCCGGCTCCGCCAGGGAGCGAACCCACGACGTTTCCGATCAGCAGCGAGCGTCTTGCCGCTCGGCCTTGGCGACTCCCAAAGATTAAGAAAATAATGCAAAATGTTTAAGCTGTATCAAAACGCCGGGCGTGGTACCCCAAAAAAGTAGCTTTTCTCGACAAGGGTAAAATAGTACCAGATGTTTACTAAGTACCAACTTAGGCAGCCCTGCACCTAACCGGAAATTATCCATGTCCAGGAGGAAGAGGAGAAGATAACTGGACAGGGATAATTAGACAAAGCTAAAATTCTGGAAGATAGTGAATTATCTCCCCGTATTGTCTAGGCGCCTAATTGTGTTTCGGAGCAGGGGGTGGGGGGGGGGGGTGGGATTCGAATGAGATGGGGGTTAGGGAATAAATTGCTAAAGTGCTCGATAATAAGCAGGATGTATAATGCGACTACAGCGTCTGTGGCTTAGGCGTTGCGAGTCCGGCTCGTAATTCCAACGTACCACGATCGAAACCCACTGCTGGCTGCGTGGATTTGTATCGTGGTATTGTGCGTCGCAGGTCGACCCAGCCTAAAATCGGTACCAGCTAGGATGTATGTCCTGGGAAAGTAAAGACGGCCGGCATAATGCTGACTACATTATCCACCTAGTGGCTGTAAAAATATGGGTTCTCTTACCATATGCCCGATGCGCCTAAAAGGCATGAAAAGGGATCTTTATTTTACTTTTTAGAAGGCGACTATTTAAGACCGATAAAGTTGTATGTGTTGTACTAAAAAGTGCAGATGTTGCAGCGTAGCTATAAACCGCAACAATTACGCGACAATTTTGTTTTTAAAGGCGAGCGTAAAAAAAAAAAAAAAAAAGAAGATAAATTATCTTAAGTCAACATAACTTGGGGGTCGAATGTAATAATAAATCTACATTGGGTGGTCTGATATTTGAGATAAAAACGTCCATGT